AAAAAAAAAAAAAAAAAAAAAAAAAAAAAAAAAAAAAAAAAAAAAAAAAAAAAAAACAAGTTAACATCTAGTTCAAACAATTTTAATAAGGAACAAATAGGTCTCAAAGAAACGTATTACACGGCTGTTATTAAATTGACGTAGTTTTTAAGTGAAATAAAAAATCCATCAAAAATTTCGTTTCCTCAGTTTGTTTTGTTAAATTTTTTTAATTACTACAAAGTTTTTATTTAGTAGAAATATTTGTAGTGCCAAATTTACTGTGCTAATGAAGTGAATGTTATCTTTTCTTTATGCCTACCACTCTAATAAATCAATGAGCTGTCTTCTCTGCAGAGTCTTGTGACAATTATTGATTTTAATCTTACCGACCAATTATCTACGGTGAACACATAGTAAGATTCATAAATTTACGTAATTAAATACATTTTAAAATCAAACAAAATCTTTGTGTGGTTTTTTTTTCAGCAAAACGGAAGGGTCACAATACCTTGCAAGAGTTTGCCAGCAAGACAATGTAATTGAAAGTTCTACTAAAATTTTTTCACCTCATATATGTATAATGGGTTAGACAATTTGTCCCGAATGGCCGTGATTCAGGATGAGGTGATTGTTTCACTATACAACCGCTATGAATCCTTGGTACGTAATTTAATCGAGTTTCTTCACTGCACATGTAACTTAACTTCTTGAGTGTAACTTTTTTAAATTGCAGATCGATGTCTTAGCAGTCCTAGAATTGCTATCATCGAGCGCTTCAATTAATTTGACTACGTTGGGGTGACCCTGACAAGTACTTAGCATATCAATCTCATTCCTGTACAGGTTGTCGAGTTTGGCCAGTATTTTGACGGTGTAGCTAGTGTTCGTAGTTCGATCTCTACAACGCCGGTACACGGAGAAGGAACCATCGCCCAGGAGGTCACTTTTTTTGAGATCGTACTTGAATAAAAACCTAGACTCTTCATAGTAAAGATGTGCTTCAAGGACTGAGCTTGGGGGCTCAACGAAGGCTATGGCAACATTTGTGAGCAGTTGTCCAGCAAGTGATTACTTGATAGAGGTGGTTTGCAGGTCTAGCCCTGTAAAAAGCCAATTATTTCTGAAGTTATACTTCTATAGGCGCTTTATGCGTGAGGGTAAATCAACGATTTCAGATTTTGGCCTTGAGAAAAAGTGTGACGAAAGTGGATTTGACGTGATTCTCCCCCCTTCACCTCGGCGCCTGTGACGTACTTCCGGTCCCCTCTACACCACATAATATTACCATACCACACTACACATTTTGAATTTTATGAATCATATTTCTTTTAACCAATTCTTAAAAAAAAAAGTCTCTCAAGAGATTCAGAATCCCCAACCTTCTGTACTCTAGCCGAAGGTCCTTACCTGCTACGCCATGACCGATCTCGATATAGGGATTCTGATTCTTGCTTTTAATGACATAGTTCGTAACAATTACGCTTGTCTAAATTTTCATTTACTGTGTATGAATTTATTTGGTTCAGTTATAAATAATTAATTTAATAAAATAACTTTTTTTGTTAAATATTTTTTTAGAAAACTTGGAAATTAGTAAATTCTAGCAGAGCAGCTTTCCTGTGTTACTAAATATTTATTTACTATTTATTAGTTTGTTACTTCGACAATAAATAAATAATTAATACAATTTTTTTATATTTTCTTAAAAT